TTCTCTGCCGCACCGGGTAGTGGTGAAAAGAGTGTTTTGTAAAGGCTTCTCCGCCTTGCTATGGGTGCAAAAGGAGAGTCACTATTGGTATTAGTGCAATACTCAGAGGGTGCCTCTGAGGAGTGGATGTAGGTCTGATTTAGACCAAACCACTATAAATCTGATGTCATTTACTTTATTATTTTTACTTTTCCGCATTTTATTTTTAGCTTTAAAAACTCTGTGGTTGAAAAACGCTTTCTACAAAAACTTAAAAGAAAATTTTCATTTCGGTTTAACTCATTTTAAAAGAGGGCTTAAAATTTTTAAACTACAAATTCACCCCCCCCCTCTTGGTAGCCTTGAGACATTAACTTAGGTTTAACAACCTATTTACTAGACTCAACAACTACTAGCAAGTTATTTGATTTGGCTATATGATGTTGAGGAGAGAAATTATTGTCATCAATCATCCTCATCTCTGCAATATTAACATTGATAAATTTATGTTGTCACTCATCCGCCTGAGCATCCTCATCTCTACAACTTTAACTGAATATTATGCTTATCTTTTAATGGCTAACATTCTACACCATAAAGCATTGCAGGTCTCATCACCACATCTTATAGAATTTTTCCTCAGTTTGAGGGAGAATTTTCTATCATTCAACAAGCCTGATGCATTCCTCCAATGCAACCATCCAACATGAATTATGCTAATAATATCTCTATCTATTACACCATCACCATGAACAATAGACTTAAGATATCTAAAACATATATTCTTATTAGTGAATTATTTACCCAAGTTATTATCCCTCCCATTAGACTCTAAGGTTGACCACTATAATTCAAATTTACATTAAACTCCCTCCCTAGTCTTATACATAAAAATGATATCATCAACAAAATGCATACCTTGCGGCGGTGGCGGATTTGGACGAATATGGCACAAAAGGAAGAAGGATGATTACCTTCGTAATGATCAAGCTCCCGTCCCCTCAACTTCAACTACTTTGTAAAGAATGATGACGTGGTGTGACTTTGGATGTGAAAATTTGGTCGAAGAAGTGCGCAAAAGGATGAAAGATGGATACCTTCACAATGAGCGAGCTCCATCTCTAAAGGAGGTGGGACTTCAGCTAAGAGAACAATGAGGTGGAGGAGCGACTGCAGCTGAGAAGAACGGAGAGGAAGTGTGACTTCGGATGCGAAAGGATGGAACATCGTCGAAGGAGGCGATGAACATCATCAAAGGAGGCGATGATCATCATCGAAGGAGGTGAGTGAAATAAAAAAGTTGAAGGGTGGAGAAAAGCAGTCGAGAAAATAGAACAAAGAAGTGAATCAATTGCCCAATAAGTAGGTTAGATAGGGTAGTTTTTGTCAAATTTGTGGCAGATTTGCAACGAAATTTCCGACGCAACTCCGCCGCAAGTAAAACAACAAAACTTTATGTCGCAATTTTTGAAAAAAAGAAAAAAATTCCACCATAAAGTTCGCCACAAATCCCCCGCAAAATGCTAACTTTCCTTATTAGAACTAAAAAACTATTAAGAACTAAAACATGAGTTTTTTAGTTGGATAATGGATTTAGATTTTGCAAAAGAATTCAAAGAAGCATGTCTCCTTATATTTTTACTTACCACCTTCATGGCATCATTGATGAGAGGAAGACAAGTTAAGTTGTGTTCATAAACCAACCACTAAGAGTGGGATTAGTGAAAGTATTTATTTTGATATCTATTCGAGGTCATCTACATGAGAAAATCCTATTTTGGGTCTTTCATCTAATATAGGCAGTTGTAGAGGTTACACCTGAGGGATTGGATGATAAATATGAGTTATCATATGCAAAAATTCATTACATGAACTGCATATAAATAACCTCTTGAAAAAAAAAAAAGAATTTAATAAGGGTTTTGGAGTCTAAAGTGATGTTTATTTTAATTGCCACTTTTGAGATCCTTTCCTCAATCCAATGATCAAAATCTGAATTTTAATAAAATTCTTCCTTCATTACCTTAAAATCCCATGGACATTTATCTATAATAAAAGGCTTCCCATTTATAAACCAAAGGCCATCCTTTCAAACCAATTTATCATTATTAAGGTAAGAGAAAATAAAATAAAAGAGCTCTTCCATTAGAGAAAGGATAATAATGCTATCTTTGAGGTTCCAAAGCTTCCTTATAGATGAAAGAAAAGTTCATAAAATGGTATTTTTCAAATAGCATACCCTACTAGAGTGAGCTCCTAATCTTTGGCTGTAAGGTAAAACTTTTTTGCTTAGAAATAAATTTTATTTCGAGTTTTTTTTTTCTTGTAAAAGAGAGAAATATGTACAAATAGAAGCATTTGGACACTCAAAGAGGCCTTTTGGTTTAGAATAATTCCAATTGTATTTAAGTTAAAACAAGGGGAATAAATCTTCTTAAGAAAATTATATTAAAATATTTATCAAAGCTCATAACCCTTAATAGGGATTTGCATAAAGATCATAAAATATTTATATTATATATTTAATTAAATTTTTATATTTATTTATATAACATACTGACCTCAAAATATTTGCTCTCAAGAAGATTTATGTTTTATTATTTTAAAAAATAATATTAGTTGTATTTATAATTTAATTCATTAGCCTTAGAGTTTTATATGCTAAAATATATAAATTTAAGTAATAAATAATAAATACATTATTAGTATCTTATTTTGCTTAACATAGAGCAAATATTATATATATATTATAAATATCAAATATTTTATATATTTATTATATATTATTTTAATACTTTAAATTATATTAAAATATATGTATGAAAATAATATCTTATTTTAAATTAGTTATTGTTAAAAATTTTTATATTTAAAATTTAAATTATATATATAAATAAATATAGACTTGACGTTGTGGCAGGTTGCTATAAATTAAAATAAAAACTTATACTTAAGATTCCCCTCAATTTTTTCTTTTAATTATACATCGTCTTCGCAGGCTCGCCGAGGCTTTTTATAATTTGATTGATGTCCTCACCAGGAGTCTGCTTTCTCCCCATCTCTTTTATCTGAGCTCGCCCAACTTTTGCCAAGGTGAAGCAGAACTTCTGGAGGTTGGGGCTGCCTCCCTTTGCTGAATTAAATTACTTTCTTTTTTTTTCCTTTTAATTTTGATGTAGGATTCGCTCTTGTCAGAAGATAACGGTATGGGGTTTTACTGTCGTGTTATCGATTGAATTATTCAGCTTATGATTAGGGTTTTGTCAACTATTTTTCATTGATTCATCTTTTGGGCTTCTTTGAGCTTGTTGATCCAGTTGAATAAAGCTATTGATGTTTCCGGGCATGAGTTTGCGATCAGGGATTCATTTTCAAGTTTAGTTAGTTCTCGTAATAATGAAAAGAAGAAAGATATTTGCAGATATTCTACTAACCTATAACTTGATTGACAAGCGAGGTGGCTGAAATCCTTAATTCCTTAGTCATACTTGCATCAAAAACATATTCCAAGCTGCCTTGGATTAATGAATTCCACTAGAGTTGTCATCTAAAGACATGAAGTTTAATGGCAATCATTACAAAATTATTTTCCTTCAAAACTTTTAATGGCGTCCTGTAAGTATGAAGTAGAGCCTTAAAAAATGCTTAAAAATAAGGATCAATAAGGGGCTGTTTGGTATCGGATTTACAGCGGGATTTAAGTCGGATTTACGCTAAATCCAGCCAAACAATTTTTGTGCGCGTGTTAAATCCCGGGATTCGGTAAATCCCAGATTTTCGGATGTACGGCTTAAATCTGGGATTTATTAAATCCCTCAGGTAGGCAGATTTAACGGGATTTAAGTCAGAGCTGAAATGCTACCCACGGCCAGTGGCGGAGCCAAAAATTTTATTCAGAGGGGAGCCTAAATTAAAATAGTTCTATTTGTGGTTTCATCTGGAATGTTAGAATGCATTAAAATAGTTCCATTTGTCATTTCATTACCAGAGCTAAGAGGAGCTGTAAGATCAAAATTAAAAATGAAAACAACATGGCCCTTAGCTCTTAGAAGACATAAATATTTACATTTGTTGTGATTTTAAAGTTTTATTCTATGAAAATTATCAACAATTTTATTTTAAAAGATATCAAGGCACATCAAATTTATTTTTTTGCTTTATGTTTTGAATATATGATGTGGGTTGGATCGTTGGAAGAAGAGGATGCTTGAAGGATTTAATCCCAGTCTAGGGAACAAAGATAACACCAAGCTTAGAGCTTCAAAAATATATACTATTCATCATTCAATGTCCTTCCTACTACAATACTTGATATTTAAAGCCGCCTCAATCTCCCAATTTCTTCTCCTCTTCGTTATTCTGCTTCGCTGCTTCCGGCTCAGGCGCCAAGTAACGATCTTTCTTCCTTTGTTGTGTAGAACACAGTCCAAAAGTTTTGTACTTTTTTTTTGCCGCAAAGAACTTTTCATTATTTTTGAAAGGCAAAGGATTAGCTTTCAAAGTCAGGTTGCGAATTTTCTTCATGTTGTGTAGAACACATTCCACAACTTTGATTTTTTTTTTTTTTGCTTGTACTAGATTATCACTATATCGTGCATGTTACAAAAAAGCTAAAAATTAGAAAAGCTGAATATACTGAATTTTCATTCTTAGCATCTCTTCTCAACATTAATATAGTGCTACATTAATTTTTTTTAGATTATCTCAAGCATCGTTATTTAATTTAATTTGTAAAAACCACTATGCTAGGCTAGTTGAAGTATTCTATTATAATATGATGTTTGCTATGTTAATGTGATAAACTATTCTTTGATAATACAATGGTTAGGGTAAATTAATTCAGAATGAAGCGAGCATTTAACACCGGGTTTGACAAAGATAATTTTGAATCGGTGTGCTATAATGAGTCATCTAATGTCATCTATCTAAAAAATTATGGGTTCACTCTTGATTGCATAGTTTGTGAAGCAAGAAATGGTATTACTCGTGAAAATACTTTATAAAATTTACTTAGAAATGCGAGAACAATCAAATTACATGCTTATAATGTTTTCTTGAATGTATGATAGAAATGAAGAGATTTTTAAAAGTCAAAGGTTTAGCTCATGCTGGCACTAGCTCTCAAACTCGTGTAGCTGAAGAAATATCCATGGTTTTGAAAACCGGACCGGACCGGCCGGTTCGGCCGGTTCAACCGAGATTCCAATTTGGTTTTATTTTATTTGGATTTGGTCCTTTAGAAATCATTTGAATTTTGGTTCTGATTTAGGTTCCCAAGTCCACTATTCAAGTTCATATGAGTTCCACTGCTCGTTCTTTTGAGTTCAAAAGTCCACAAGTCATTGTTCTTTGGAGTCCAGGCTCTTGTTCTTTTGAGTTCAAACAGGTCCGAGTGTGATCGTACATTCACTCGAAATTTTGACAGCCTCCCGGCGTCTCCCCCGTTTAGAGGAAAACTATGAGAAAACTGAGCCTTCCCACCACGCGCAATAAAGGCGTGCATGGTAGGTGCCCTCTTTCGAGGACACCGCGGCCGTGATTTTTCTTCCCACCATGCGTAATAAAGGCGTGCATGGGGTCTTTGACGGTACCTATTACAAGAAAAGAGCAGTTTGCTTCCCCCCAATGTTTTCTTGAATGTATGATAGAAATGAAGAGATTTTTAAAAGACAAAGGTTTAGCTCATGCTGGCACTAGCTCTCAAACTCGTGTAGCTGAAGAAATATCTATCCACTCGGGCCAACCCAAAAGCACATCTCAAAATCCTAGGTGACCCGAGGAGCACTATGTTGTGTTTGCCGAGCTTCTTTTTAGCAATTCGTGCACGAAAATATATGTAATGATAACTTAAGGAGGGATCAGTGGTCAAAACTTGTCGTTGTGTTGAATAGGAGGTTGGGTACATTTTACATTGAATCATCAATAATGATTATGTTTAAAAATATAAAATCTGACTTCCGAATGCTATATCAATTAACAAATCATAGTGGTTAGATTGGGATGAGGAATCACACATTCCAATTGCTATTGATGAGCTTTGGGATGAAATTATTTAGGTAATACTTATCTTATGCTTATAAAAGTTAGGTTTAATATTGCATTAAGTTAACCTATGTTGCATATTCAAAATGCAGGTGACTCCTAAGCTTTTACAATTTCGTCGGCATTCATTTCACCAATATGACATTTTTGAAAAAATATGTATTGACAATATAGCTGTTGGGTTCGGTGCATGATCCAATAAAATAGCTCGTAACCCAATAAGTTTAGATGTTGAAGAGACCCCTCAATATGAAGATGAATTTCTTACAACTAATGGTGTGGCATACAAGTTCGAAGGAACTCCAGCAAGTGATCTCCCTGACGCAACATACGATTTACCATCATGTTTTGAACAAATTGCAAGTCAAATGGTAGACTCAAAGTGATCAAGTGACGAACCTTCCAGAAGTACAAGGCGCCCACGATTTAAAGGAGGACTAGATAACCTAAATAAGTTGTTGGTGGAGTATAACAGAAATGCTATAATTTTTAAGGAAACAGTTATAAGAAGCAACCCATACACAATGACTGATTGTTTGCAAAAACTAGGCACAATGGAGAATTTAAGAACAGAAGCTCTTGTAGCTATTTTTGACTCGTTGAAGGATAGTAATGATAATAAGGCCATACTAATGACTTGGGAGGGTGAAGTTCTTCGCAAGTGTATCGAACATATTGTTGAGAACCATCAGTGATTTTATTCTGCAAAAATTTAGCTGTAGTTCAATCCTAGATTGCTTTAAGTAATGTGATATATTATTGTTGTAGTTCATTCCTAGATTGTTTGTACTTTATTTTTTTATTATATAGGTTTGCGGTTTGTGTTGAGTGTCTTGTAGAATTCTGTGTTACGTGAGTGTGTTTGTGTCAGGAATAAGTTGTTCTACCTTAATAAATAGATTTTAAGTACTAGACCACATCATGTCATTTTCTGTGAAGCATTAATTTTATGAATTTAATTTAGTTCAGAAACATAACTAATGCTTATTTAGGAGTTCCTGCTTGTAAAGCTCACCTAAGATGTTGGTGAGGGTACATGCACTTTAATATTTTTTGGAACACAATTGAGTTAAACTAGTTCTTTTTTTTTACTTTGATAATTTAATTCTTCTAACAGTTATGTTGAACCTATTTATTCATAAATATCATATTTCATTGTTATGTTTTTTTAGCGTATACGTTGTTTCATAAGACCATATTTCATTGTTCTTACAGAGATAGGTTTTCGATCAAATGTGTCTCTTAGTCATTAATCTTGAATTAGAAACTATAAGTTGCCTCATAGGTTGTCTGTAGTGAACTAGTTTTTAGTAGGATAAACTGTTTCCTTTATTATCTGTTGATTCTGTGAAGGATTTTACCTATGACTTCGCCTTACTTATATATATTTTTGGTGATTGTCGTCAAGTACTAAAAATATTAATTTCTCTCATGCATTAATGGCATTTATATGAACATTCCGAGAATGCTCTAGGTGAATGTTTGAAATATGTGTCCCTTACGTTTGATAAATTTAAATTGTAGTTAACCATCCTCATGGCTAACTATTTGTATGGTGTTCTTTCGGACGACCAGTGCAATATGGTTGATTTGCATATACATGTCACCAATGCTATAGTTGAACTTTCCCTGACTATTATAGATGAAGCTGTAAACATAGATGAAGAAGAGCATGTGCGACATCTAATAAGCAGGGAGGGGTCGGAGCGACTGAACCCAAATCCTCGTGATTGTAGAAAGCTGGTGAGCTTTTGGAACCATCGTCGGGGTGCCTGCTTAAGACCATAAAACAATTTATGTAGTTTGCACGCGGAGTTTGGTGAGTGAGGGTCTAGAAGATCGCCGTGCAGAAAGGCATTGGAGACGTCAAGTTGAAGCATTGGCCAGTGGAGATTGAGGGCAAGAGTAAGCAAAATGCGGATGGTAGGCATTTTGGCGATCGACAAAATGTTTCATTGTAATTCTCTCCAAATATTTGATCATAGCCTAAAGAGACAAGTCGAGCTTTGTGGCGTTTCACTTGACCTGTAGGAAGCATTTTGGTTTTGAATGTTCATTTGCATCCAAGAAT